TCAGAATTTTAACCATTTTGGTCCTATAAAATCTTTTTTTTTTGCCAGGTACTGAAGATATATAAACCAAGAACTGCAGCCTATATCCAGCTGTTTTAATAAAGAGGGAGTAAAAAAGGTAACCAGTAACAACTTATATAAGAGGTAAATTTTGGGGATTTAACTTGGTCCCTGTATACTGTAGACCTGTCTATTTAAAAAATATGCAGCTCTACCCTTAGAACAGTTAGTTTACAGTTAGCTATTTAGTAACAATACAGTGAAATGTCAACTTGGTTGAGTAAAGTAACATACAGAACACAAATGTGATTTCAAATTAATGCAGAGCTCCACTAGGGTCACATCTATCAAGATACTCAGAGATGGGGAAAATTCTTGTGGCTAAATAGCCTGGACGACTTTTGAGAACCTCTCGATATATATGGTAAACTTTGCATACTGCATGTGACATGGAAAATTATAAAAGTCTAAAGATGTCCAATGAAAGGTGTTGAGAATCCAGGGGAGAGTATAACTGAGAAGTTCAGTCAACAAGGTGTGTACATTTGGTGTTAAAGGCATCTGCATTACCTGTCTATGTGTGGTAGAGGGATTTTTTGGTATTTTAAGATTGAAGGTCATCAACAATTAAGTATAGGGTGCTATTGGAAATGAAAATGAAAGGCTTTGTTGCATTTTCCAGGCTTATCTGATTCTTTGTGACTCAGATAGCTTCCCATAATTCCATGTGCTATCTTTTTTTTGTAGACTATCTCAAGCAGCACATTTAGTCATGAGACTTGATAGTATTTGACCATGTAGGTTTTGTTACCTATATTGAATGTTCACTATATGTAATGCTCATGTTAATTGTGTGAGAAATCTGTGCTTGGTGATTGTGCTTTCTGATTTCCCAGAATAGATGAGGAATTTGTGCTCCCCAATGTCTCTTTCAATGCAAGAATTAAGTCTCCTTTTTCAAAATGGTGGTGTTTAAAATGTAATATTTCTTGGATTATCTGGGTTTAATACATTACCCAGAGCTCTGTGAATGCAGCTGATTTTCAGAAGAGATTATTGTCCATTAGAAAGGAAACTTGAAAATTAAGGAAGCATATGACTTCTGTGACCAATTCTGGAACTGCCCTAATGCAAACATTTGCTTAACTGCTGCAAATTGCAATATCTTCAATTTTGTATTCTAGATTTTGAATATCCCTTTCTTGCAAACTGATTTTTCTCAAGGTTGTCTGCACTGGGATTGACAATGCTATCAACATTTGTTTCAGAATCTTCTGTCTGTTCCCATTATTAATTTTCCAAATAATTGGCTCCTGCCTGGAGTTTTGCCTGAATATACATTTGATTCCTGATATTATTTCCTCTTACTTTTTTTTTTATTTCAGTTGACCTAATCTCCAATGACTCCACATCAGTATTTGAGTCTTTCCTCTAGGTTTGTGAATTCTTGTCTTTTGGGTATGTGTGCACCCTACACTAGATAAAGAAACAATTAACTGGTATGATGACTAGCCTTCCACTTTATAGTTTGGTTGTATAGTCGTGGCCATTATGCTGTAATCTGTCTTCTTAAATTGGTGGCTGGGTTACAATGATGCTAAAAATAAGGCTTTGAAGGAGCCAAATCGGTGAAGGTCGCAGGTTTTGCATCTGTCTTGCTCAATACTATGCAGACACCCTCAAAATGGCTTTTTACCATCAAAAGTGCAAATTGTTTTTATTATTAGACAGATGCTGTATATTGTTTTATATCAGAAATGTATTTATGAAGACTCACAACTGATAAGTCCACTCCAAACTTCAAAATAATTGTTAACTTGAATTCTGCTCAAGACAAAAACCGCAAGTAATTTTTCAGAAGTGGTTTCAAAAATGCCTAGGAGTCTGGAGGACCTTCTAAACTAAGATCTGGGGGCCATAGAGCAGAAAGGAATATGTCATTTGGACAGCAAAGGTCTACAGAGAAACATGATATAGAGGGGTGAATTATTGGGAGAGCAGGGCTCAAACTTGCATCACCTAAGAACAATACAGAAAGAGTAGTGGCATCAAGGTATAGCTCAATGGAATATTAAACACTGACACAAAATTAAAGTGTTACTAAACCCAGGACCCTGCATTCACTATATCTGGTCTCTCACAGTACACAGAACATGGAAATGCAATTATTTTAGTAAATATAAACTGCTAAATACCTTTTCTCATCAGCAGTTAGAGCAGTCTTGTGATTTCTATCAGTGTCCAGCCCACCACTAGCTAAAGCTTATAGGAGGACTTTTCTGTCTGCTCTAGGAGGATGGAAATCCCCTGACCTCTGTCTGGATAGTGCTGATTGGCCCTGTGCTGATAACATACAGGGAAAGGGCATTGGAAAACTTTTTTTGTCTTCAGTTTTTCGAGATGAAAAGAACAGATTTAACAGTAATAACAATGATGTTTCAATAAAGGTTGACTGAAAACCAGCTACAAAAGAGACTAGAGGAACCTAATGTGGAAAAATGACCAGCTCCAGATGGCTTACACCCACGAGTCCTTAGGGAACTTAGTGGAGTTATAGCCAAACCACTATTTCAAATTTTTTAAAGACACCTTACTGACTGGAATGGTACCAACTGACTGGCATAGAACAAAAGCAGTAAATGTTAATGTACTGCAGTAGAGAAAAATCTGGTCTACTCCCCTGTTAGACAGGGCTGTGCTGTGTGGCAGACCTGTGTAAATCTCAGAACTGTCAGAACTGTATGGACAGATGTACAGATCTTGTGACAGGTAAAATAGCTCTCATGTACAGGTTTCATCTGTGTATTTAGCTGTGTGCATTGGGTTCTGCTTTAATTATAGTTTTGCATAGTGAAATATATTTAGAAAATTGCTAGTCAGTATGTAACATAGCCATAATAATCTCCTCAGCACATGACATTTACCCAGTTCCAACTCTCTGGTGTCTACAGGAATAATTCCCTGTAGTTAGAACATCTGTGGGAAGTTTCATTCAGAGGATGACTAACAAGTGCTAAAATCTTGCTTTGAAGCCTCATGAAATTCATGGTTAGCTTAGCAATGGCAGCATTATAGAAATAAGCTACAAAGTAAACTCTAATACAGTATACTACAAAATCATATTTAAAAAAAAGATGTTTGTGTAATAATTGGAAAGTGCTATGAATTTTTTTTTTTTTAAATTGCAAATAAATATCCACTCATAAATCTAATACAAATACAAATGTAGCAGGTATGAACTGGTTCTTTGGTGCAAATGATAATTCAAAAGCTTGTACATGCAAAAGCCAGCAACGTACTGTAGGTCAAAATACTATTACAAATGGCAATGGTTTCACTCTCCTGCTTTATACTATCAAAATTGTCAGGGGGGTGGAGTTACACTTTTACAAAAAAAATCAGAGCACAATTCTTCTAGGCACAGACCAGTCTGTTACAAGTTATTGTTTTCTATTTTCATGACTGTCAATGTGTGATTGTTGCCAGACACCAGCTGTCTGGGCAGACATTATGGGTGAGTGCTTTCATATCACAATTAAGGTTTAAGCCCATTTTCTTTTTCTTTTTAAATGATTGGTACTTTGAATGGACAGGAGACTCATTAGTCACCTTTTATTTAAATATACCTAATTATGGCAACTATATAAACACAACTTATAGCTGATCTTTCTCACAAGCAAGCCATTAGGCGAATGCTAGCACATGGCTAATGATATGTAATTATGGAACTGTCTAAAATAACTCCTTTTTAACAGACTATCCCTACATACAATTTTTTCTATGTTTTATAAGCAAAATTGGTGAAATAAATGTCCTGCTACATCCACCCTACAAATCTACAACATAATCTGTTATTAAAGGGACAATAGGTAAGTTTTGTAGAAGTAAATTGTACTATGTGACATGGATACCATGGCACGGGAAAGATAGTTGTACAATTAAAGCTGTATTGGAGTTTGCTGTAGAATTACAATTTTATTATTTGAAGCAAGTCCTACAGTATATGTCTTGGATCCCTAATATTGTGAATAAACTATGTGTTTCTAGCCTAAGTTTGGCTTTCTCATGTGGTATGTATATATATACACAGTGCTCAGCATGAATGAGTACACCCTAAAAGATTTGTCAGGAAACTTTCCTTTCCTTTCCTTTCAGAATCAACGTTTTCTATTGGACACTATACTACAAACTACTCCCACAAATGTGGGCCATTAATTGCAAACAAGATTTGTTAATTTGCACACAAAAAAAAGTATTTTTCCTAACAAATTCATTCAAGACCATGTTGCAAAAATGATTGCACCCCAATGAAATCTTAGGAGCAAGGCTAAATTTTAGACAACAAAATCCTGATTAACAAGAATTCAACTACTGGTGAGTCTATTTTTCATTAAACAGGTGTCCAGCAGACAGTTGATTACAAAATGGCGTTACTTAACAAAGAAAATCACTCCCATTTCATGCTGTTAGCAATGGCACCACATGGAAGAGAAATGTCACAAGGCCTGAGAAAGAAAATAATTTATTTACAAAAGAAAGGTGAAGGCTACAAGAAGATAAGCAAAGCTTTACTTATCAGTCAGAATACTGTAGCAAAAGGGATAAAAGCTTTAACAAGGATGGAATGGCAACCATCTCACAGAGACATCTAGGCCATCCATGGAAGTTAACACCTCAACAGGAATGTCTTCTGATGAGAAAGGTTGAAGAAAATCACCATGCAAGTTCACTGTAGTTAGCTAAAGAAGTAGAAAGCCAGACTGGAGTAATTGTTTCCACAATATGGCATACATTGCAGAGCAATGGCATGCACGGGTGTTGTCCATAAAGGAAGCCTCTCCTAAAGCCCATGCAGAAAAAAGTCTGCCTAGAATTTACCAGTGCCTATGCTGAAAAAGAAGACTACTGGGACTCTGTACTCTGGAGTGATGACCAAGAAAAAGGTTTGTGTAACTGATGGCTTCAAAACTGTATGGAGTTGCAAAGGAGTACAAAGAAAAATGCATGGTGCCTACAGTGAAACATGGTGGTGGCAGTGTCCTTCTGTGGGGCTGCATGAGTACTGCTGGTGTAGGTGAGCTGCATTTTATTGATGGTTTCATGAATTCACAGGTGTACTGCTCTATATTGAAAGAGAAATTGTTACCATCACTCCATGCCCTTAGCCTTCATGCACTTTCCCAACATAACAATGATCCAAAACACACATCAAAGGCCACTGTTGCATTCCTGAAGAAGAACAGGGTGAAAGTGATTCAGTGGCCAAATATGTCTCCTTATATGAACCCAATCGAACACCTATAGAGAATTCTGAAGAGACAAGCTGAGCATCATTCTCCATTCAACATCCAGGCTCTAAAAGAGGTCGTTCTTGAAGAATGGAAAAAGATCATTGTTGCAATATGTCGCCAACGTGTTCATTCCATGCCTAGAAGACTTGATGCTGTCCTTACAAATCATGGAGGTCATACAAAATACTAGATGGAGTCATTTTTGTTGTGGGATGTATTAATTTTTGCATCAACTAATTTGATAGAGAATAAACAGGTGGAGCACACAGCTAGTGCATTATCCAAGGTTTATTGAAAGTTATGAAAGGTAAAAACATACTCACAGATGAAGCATGTATCTAAAAAGCATTTCCATAATGATGATGGCCACAACGGCAAACAAGGTGTTCCAACTGTCAGTGCAGTCAAATGGCTGACCCGTTTTGGGGATGAGTCCCTTTCCTCAGAGCTACTGACCAGCCTCTGGTGCAGATGTGTAGTGGATGAATGATGGGAGCCTTGCTGGTGATCACTTAAGAAAACATTTGCTTAAGAAAAAGAAACCAGTAGGTCAAGGAATGTTTAATCCTAGCAGGACCCCATTATCAAAAGAAGAATTACTAGTTTTAGATAAGAGTTTAAAATATGCTCCCCCGAAACCTGCTAACAAGTTTGACATTTTTATAGACACTCAGAAGTTTATCAGGAAGCTGAACATCAAGAAATATTTTTTAAGTTTACCAGGAGCTAAAAACATTGTTAATAATGCTCCCAGGAGTTTTACCCATACATTTTTAAAGAATAAGTCACTTTTTAATCCTCACAGATAAATAATAACAGCCAAATAGAAGTTTTAAAAAAATTTGTTAATTAGGATTTGAATCAACTTGTGTTTCCGATTGCCCCTAAAAATATAGGGATTGAGGTAGGTATGAAAAAATTGGCTAAGAGAGATGATATTTTTGTGAGACCTGCCAACAAAGGTGGAGTAATTTTGTCTAAAGAATACTACTTAAAAGAGTTGGCTGTTAGAGGATAGGAGCACATATGAAATCATTGCAAGGGGCCCTACACTCAAATATAGGAAAGAATTGGAGAAGCTGGTCAAAAAGGGGAAAGATAAGAATATATTAAATAGCAAGGAATCTAAATATTTAGTACCCGAAACTTGTAGATTACCAGTTATTTATAGTGTACCTAAGATTCACAAGAATAGCACTAATCCACCTGGGGGGCCCATTGTAAATGGTATTCAGTCGGTGTTAGCAAGAATGGGCCAATACGTAGATGAATTCCTTCAACCAGTGGTGAAACAAACTAAATCATATTTAAAAGACACCAAACATTTAATACAACAGTTGGACCAGTGTAAAGGAGATATGGATATGTATATGGCAAGTGCAGATGTTGCTTCTCTGTATACTATCATAGGCCATGAGGAAGCTATGAATTCAGTTGGCTGGGGCCTTAGACATTATAGTAATTTATCTTGGTTATGGAGAAAATATTTATTAGAGTGTTTGGATTTCTGTCTTAATCATAACTATTTTTGGCATAGTAATGTTAAGCAAATTAAAGGTGTTGCAATGGGAGCGAGGTTCGCTCCCAGTGTTGCCAATATATTTATGGCTCATTGGGAAGAGAAGGTTATTTATCAGAACTACCCAAAATAACTTATGTTATATAAAAGGTTCATTGATGATGTGCTAATCATTTGGAAAGGGAGCCTGGATACCTTATTAGTATTTTTGAATGAATTGAATAAGAATAATATGAATATTAGATTTACCTGGGAATATAGCAATATAGAATTTAATTTTTTGGATCTTAATATAAAAAAATAGATAAAGGAAAGTTTTTAACTAAGAAATATTTTAAAATGGTGGATAGGTAGTTGCCATCATCCATCTTGGCTTTATAATATCCCCAAAGGACAATTTGTTAGAGTTAGACGTAATTGTACGCTGGAAAAAGACTATCTGGAGCAAGCAAATATGTTGGGAACTCGGTTTCTAGATAAAGGATATCCACAAGAAAGTATTACAAGTAGAATTGAAGAAGTTAGAAATGTGGATAGATTAACTCTACTTCAAGATAAAAATAAGGAAGGAGATTTGTGGATAATTTAGCGATTTATATTAGATTTTAACATCCATCATAAGAAAGTAGACAAAGTTTTTAAGAAATACTGGAAAATTTTAAAATTGGATCCATTTTAGGTAATGTTTTGTCTGATAATCCCAGGTTTATTTATAGAAAAGCACCTACAGTGAGATCTAAAATAGTAAAAAATGCACTAGACCCCCCTAGCAAGAACCATATTGCAACTTTTGTGGATAATAAAGGGTTTTTCCCATGCAGAAATTGCTATGCATGTTTACCGACGAAAAGACAGAATACTAAACGGAAGAAGTTTGTAGCAAATACCACTGGACAGAAATATGAAATCAAGGATTTCATATCATGTAGAACGGAGGGAGTGGTTTATTGTCTGGAGTGTGAATGTGGACTCCAGTACATAGTGAGAACTAAGAGACCTCTGTGGAAAAGGTTAAAGGAACACATTCAGAATATCAAAAAAGGATTCCCCAAGCATAGTATTTCAAAACACTTTGCTATGCATCATAATAAAAATCCATCTTCACTTAAATTTTGGGGCATAGAAAAATATAAGCGTCCTTGGAGGGGCAGCAACAAAGTGAGATCCCTCAGTAAAGCTGAATCTAGATGGATCTAATATATGGGTACACAGGTTCCGAAAGGGTTAAACGTAGAGTTTGACCTCAATTTTTTTATTAGTGACTTTTAATAATGGCTGTTTTTGTATATTATTTTATTCATATTTTTAATATTTGTTTTAATTTATGTATTTTTAATAAAAGTGTGGTTTTATAAGTATTAATATTAGAATGATAACTTAAGGTTGTAAATGTATGGGTATACTGCATGAGTGGGTATATTTATTTATTTAAATATTTCATTTATTTTATTTTTATTTTATATTTTTTGTATATTGACATAAAGGATTGTAATAGGTTTTGATAGAGCCCACCCTTAATAGGATTCATTAGTTAGATATGGGGTAGTAAATGTATTTTTATTTTTTATAATAGTAATAAAGTATGTTGGGAATAGGGTTTAGTATTAAATACATTACTTTGGCAGCCGTTTTAAGATCGAGGATTCCTTAGTGTAATTATTAATGAGGGCTTCCTATATAGTGATTCAGTATATTAAAAGCTATTAGAATATGGCCGAAGGTGGACAAACTACAAGAAAATGACCGCCGTCCATAGTAATTAGAAGACTGACGATTTCCATGTGTGTCAGATAGTGAGGTTCCCTATATATAGGCTAGCTGCTCACCAATGGCGTTATCCTGATGAAGTCACGTGGTATAGTGACGCAACTTCCGGTACGGGCGCCATCTTGGCACACCCAGAAAGAGTACTAACCCATGCATGAGGTTTATGCGGTTTTATGCTGTATATTCGACATTGAACAAAGTGAGTGGGCATTTTTGTAATAAAGAGTCCTTTTATTTACTACATACTGCACTATGAGGATCTTTTCTCTCACTTACCATTAATAATGGTGAGTGATATGCAGAGCTGGTGATACAATCCTAGGAGGTCTGGAGATCAGATAATTTACCTGAGAGGTGAACCACAGGAAGAGGATACCAGATACTGCTGGAGAAGGATCTAGGATTGATCCTGAAGGCTTGGTGGCCCATTAGGGTCGCAGAGTGGACGTGAGGGGGCATTTTAGCCACGAAGGATAAGTGTGCTGACACCGACACAGCAATTATCACTTTGATCACCTTGCATGAACTTTTTGTCGTTTGAGCACTTTTAACAGAGGAACTTTATGAACTTTTGTGATTTTATATTTATTTAATTTGTATTAGTTTGGTCATTATTTTGCACTTATCACTTTAAGTGTGGTACATAATTCATGATAGGGATTGTTTAATTGTTTATTGCACACATTTATTGCAGTGTAATATACAGTATGTGTATATTTGATATATACACTTAATTTGGTCACATTTTTTGCAAGTATCACTTTGAGTGTGATTTATGAAATGTATTTATTTGAGTGGTTTTTATGTATTTATTATATAAGTTTTGATAATTTAATAAGACCTATGATCACATAGGTTTTGCACCGTATATAGCGCTTCCCTATAGTATTCATGTATTAGTTATCTCACTGATTAAGGTTCAGTTTTGAGTGTGAGCTGCTTTATAGTTTATAATTTATCATACTCCATATAAGCACAGGAGGACTTCGTACATAAATTTGAACTTTTATTTTTCTTATCACTCAAAAGAAATATTTTCCATGTGTTGGCACATGCTGAAGGGTTGTTTGGCTATCAGGGCACGTTGCAGGCTTAGGTACAGTTTTACATGCGGCATATAGTTTTACTACACCTCAGTACACTTCGCTTGCCAAGTTTTAATCTGCCCTGTTGAGGATCACTCTGCTTTACCTCCCTTGAAAACCAATCACCTGGTTCCATCTAGCTAGCTGTACACAGACAGGACATTGTTCTCTTTATTAAGAAAAATGCTAATTTTCATAAAAATTTATGTCAATATATCACACTGCATACCAAAAAGAAATATTGCAAGGCATCCAGCTTGCTAAAACATTTTTTATTTAATTATACACATTTCTACTACTATCTATCTACACGGTACTAAATGTTGCGTTCTGCATGGAGTGCACTTTTTAAGTTTGTAATAAAAGGTCAGGTATTCACTAACGGCTTGTAATATGAGTGTGATGATGTGTAGTTCACTTACTTTACTAACATACTTATACAGTTGTGTCCAAAATTATTCAACCCCCAATGCTGTAAAGGGGTTTAGGGACTATAGTGTACATTTGGAATTGTATTCAGAATCAAATCCTACAAGGACGTTGTAACTACCCAAATGCAACTAAAATGACATCAATTGTTTATGTAATACAGTAGTAAATGGTTCTTATGTGGTTTCTTCATTGCCACAATTATTCAACCCCTTAAAGACTACCACTCTGAAGAACAGAGGTTCATACAGGTGCTTTCCATCAGGTATTGAAAACACCTGTGGATGTCACCGAGCAGCAATCAAGCATAATAAGCACCAATTAGGCAGCTTTAAAATGACTGTGATACTCAGCTCCTTCTAGACATTTACTGGTGTGGTTACAAACATG